CATACGTCTTAACCAATTCATATGTTCTTTGCGACCCCTAAGCGCTAGTGGATTTCCCATGTACGCACGTCGTGCACAAATGCCAGCTCCTCTAAGTTTCTTGCGAACTTGTGCACTTTATGCTGATTTTTAAAGGAAGTGTCTACAGCAGTTCTGAGTCGATTGCGCAGTTGCTGAAGGAAGATCTGACGGTCCTGCCTGGGTGTGGTAACCCGCGGACGGCCTGTTCTTCCTCAGTCATCCGTGTTCCTAGCTGGTGGAGACGTGCGTTTAAGTGCTGCAAAGCCGATTGATGTGCGCCAAATGCAGTTGCAACTTCCAGTTGCGTAGCTCCGGTTAGTATCATTGTTAGAGCGTTTTGGTGTTCATCTTTCTTTAGGCATGGCATTGCAGCATCAACACTCCAATCAAAGCAAAAATATGGGTTTAATAGCAGTGTTTATTGTTTCTTTGAATCCAAACTTTCATTGAAAATAGACCCTTAATTTACAAGAAATCATGCAAAACACTATTTTCATAAACATGATAAATCAAGGGAAATAATTCAGTAATTGGGGTTTAAAAGCCTATGATGTACTTTAAATAGGTCACAGGTATCCAATGGTAAAAAAGATAGTTGTTCCATATACTTTTTTAAACTTTCTTTGATGAGTTAAACAATATGCGTTTCTTTTTTGTTGAGTATATTTGATATAAAGATCTAATCATAAACATTCTTGAGTTTACGTAATTTAATCATAGGACGTGTTATGAATATGTCTTCGCATATTTCGCCACTATTCACATGTAGTTTCAATATTTCATACGTCGTTTCCTCAGCCCCTTTATACATTAATTTAAGTTGGTAATCAAAGCCTAGAGTACAGTTATTTTCAAATCGTTTTTCCTCTTTGATTTTTTTCAAAAGATCAAATTTAACTTACATCTACAAAAACTGTTTTTTGCATATTAATAGGTTCAATTTCTGATTGGAAATTTTGAAATCTTATAAAAAGAATTACAACAATTTAACAGATATAAAGTATTATTTTATTTCATTAGTTCGTCAAGCCATTGAAAACTGACTCGCTATAAGCACTTTGCCTGTGCAGGTATTAGAAACTGTAAGAAGGTCGATCTTTCAGAAAATATCTAATTGATGACTATCTGACAACCTTGTTCTTTTGGAAATGGTAGTGCCCGAGAAATTGACACTAGTGTAAGATATTTCATTGGATTTATAGTAAATCTAAATATCAATGGCAAGAGTTCAATATGTCAAAAGAAATAATTCCATTACTAAAACAACAAAATCCTCGCCGTGGTACATATCCCACTTCGTATTTACTATGCAAAAAGTGTGAAAAAGTACATGCAGGAGGTCAGGATACCACATGCCTGAAATGATAAATTTCAAAAATACTTCTCAGTCTGTCGCATGCTTATATTAAATGTGTTTCATTAGAAGATCCATTCAGTTTAGGAAATATGTTCAAATTACAAGGACTTTGAAAGGAGACAATCATAAGATACTATATATAAGGTATATATCTTAAGTAAGAAACTACCTTTTTTCTGTGTACTCTAGTTATTCATACGAGTTGAGAGAGCAAGGAATTATTTTGGCCGCGATATCCTGTGTATTTGTTCTTCATAAAGTTACATAATCCGACATTTTATGTTCTTATCTTTTTTCACGCAATGATTCACGCTATAAACAACTTTTATTTAAAATAACTCCAAGGACTTTAAACAAACATGCCTTTTTTGGACACGAAAAATAATTCCAAGTAATAGCATGAAATCTTTTTTCTTGGAAGCATGTGCCTCCTGCATGCATTTTAAGGTGAATAAGCAACATTCTTGTCATTACGAAACAAAACGTAGAACCGAGAGTCCATGAATGAACAAGAAAACAACCAGTAAGGTTTATCTAAGAAGGGAACGTTCATTTTAATTGTGTGACCAAGGATTCTTGGTAGAAGTTGTTTTTTTTTTCTTATTTCTTTAAAAATCTAATTTTCAGATTTTAAAAATGAGATTGTGTTGCATTACGACACTGATATTTCTTCAGTTTGCTGTTTCTCAAGGACTGAAAATGGCATCTATTGCTTCCGCTGCATTCGATATCATTACATTTGGCATCGACTTTATCGACAAACTGTCGTCGGGAGAAGACTTCAACCAAATTCAGAAAGCAATAAACAACCTGCAAAGCAGCGTTAACGAAATTCACAACAAGCTGGATTATGTGACATCACTTGTTGAAAAACTTATAGACTTGATAAATGAACAGCCGTATAAAATTTCCCTATCAAGTAATATCGAAAAAGTAAAAAGTTGCAAAATCGATTTAGACAATTTTCTTCAAAGGCCAACAAATAATGCAGCTCGTGAAAACTTAAAAAAATGCTATGATATCATGGTGAACGTCAGAGCAATAGCCAGTTACTTGTCCGGTGGTTCAATTGTTGGTCTTCCTCCCTTATTTGAGCTTACCGCCACAGAGAAGGATTCTACAAAGGATCGACAATTAGAACTGTGTTCCAATATCTGTACAAACACTTCGTAGATGGCTGTGCTATAGTCGTTGCTGCAGAGCGTGATAAATTTCACCAATCGTCTACCCTGTACAAGACTGAGTGTCAAAGTTCAGTTCAAAAAATAAACTCTTACATGAAAGAATTTTATCGGAAGTGTATACGAGAAACATGTCCTCATTTTCTTCACCAAGCACAACTGTTGCTCGGAGAACCCAATATCGTCGATGTTTCCTCCGCACAAAAGACTCTAGAGGACAACTATCCATGGTTTCAATCTCTTATTATCCAAACTACGTCCACTTCTTCGATACCTGAAAATAAGGGAACTTTCAGCCTCAAGTCAACTACATTTGAACTTCCAAATATTTATCGAGTATTTTGGACCGATTCCTTTGTTTCATTTGACACGAAGAAATCTGAAAATCCATATGTAAACGTAACTGTAAAACGGTTTGTTTACTCACATTCTGCCTACGGAATGAAGCTCCAAAAAATGGTTGAGGGACAACTGGTCACGTTTGTTGGCTATTCATCAAGTACTCCAATTGACACGTGTAACTATGACACGGGGATTTTTTCTTCATCGGCTGTTTCGTCTTACAAGTACCAAATGGCGTTCAATTTTGCCATTGTCATTTTATTCAGTGTTCTGATATACTAGTAACTCAGTGTGAGTTTTGATTTCCCTGCAAAGATTTATCAATGAATTTTAATAGAATCGAAGACAAAAAAGCTTTGAAAAGGCAATAGAAATTTTGATAGCATGTTTCCACTAGTTTCAAATCAGTCTTGTTTTCTTAAAATTTAAACGCCATCTCCTCAAGTTGATTTCTGAAATCAAGCGAAATTTTCACTTTAATTTATAAAAATAGAAAATTTTCAATATATTTTTAGTATCCGTTTGGAAACCATTGTCATATATTGTACAATGATACCGCCATACAATTATTAATAAAACCGATATGTGTATTGCCATCTAGATGTTATTTACTTGTACAGAAACTGATACGTCATCCATTACATCGAGTAACCATCTGCGGAATCAGTTGCTATTAGAAAAATTTCAAAAACCGATATTTAAAATCAGATTTCACTATTTATACTGTCATTTAAAGGACTCTGTATACAGAAACTTTTATTATGCCGTATTTTGTCTGTCATACCTTTTAATAGCGATTATAGGGTTAGGGTTTTTTAAAATGAATTTGACGTTTTTGAGAAATCGGTATTACGGAAATGTCCGATCTTTTCATAGTAATTATTGCATGCACGATTAGTAGTGTTCCAGGAGTCTGTTTGGCCATTGCCAAGTTCGTCGCAATATCTTAAGAACATACATTTTCTCTTACATCCCCGCCCTAAAAACTACGGAACGCATTGTTTGTATATTTACAAATAATTATCATATATAAGTATATGTTTATTGTCAATGTAGGTGTTAAATAAAAGTGTGTTTCTAATTACGTCATTATTAAGTATAATTATTGATATATAAATGCAATCTTGTAACGAACGCACCTAAACTAAATTAATTGTTGTCGTTATTCAAATTAGTCAAGAAAAGATTAATTTTTGGAGGAGTTTACGAGGGAGAAAATAACTAAATTTGACTATGTCACTGTATATAACAGATCAATTTGATACGAATTACAAGGGCTCAGGGAGCGCGTGTCCAATCAACAGAAAACTCTTACACGTCTTAGTTAGGAACGTGATTCCACCTAGTAGTATGTGTTTTCTTGGGTCATTGTTTTGACCTTTTCACAATTTGTTATGTAGATCTTTTCTGATCTTAATACACATGTTAACAAAATACCCCCGGTATATGTATGTTGTATTGATTTTACTGACAATAAATGAAATTACCTAAAATTTTTATTACTTTTTTAGTGGAGTAGTATTTTTTTTAAAAATGTAAAGAAGCTATTACAAATAATAGAAATTAATTTTTTTTCAATTTTACTTACCTGAAAAAGTTAACAAGCCAAAAAAAAACTAAAAATTTTTTTCGGTATGTTGTATTGATTTTACTGACAATAAATGAAATTAATGAAATACTTTTATAACTTTTTTGAACGTCAAGTTTTCCTATAAGTCCTTAAACGTAAAAGTTTTAACTACACTGAAAAAAGCTGAATTACACCAGAAATAGTTATGTCGCACTGAAAGGAGGTATAACTACTTTTAATTAATAATGTGCAGTATATAAGCTTGTTTTTTTTTTTACATAAAGGCCACGGCTTTTGATTTTACTTACCAAGATTAAGATTTTGATTTCAGTTTGCATCATATGAATACGTACAAAAAAGGTCTTTTATAGGAGGCGCAATCAATGCTCATAGGAATTTCAACAGATTTGTAGAGATTCGTGTGTTTACAATCGGTCTGTTTATTAAAAAAAAATACAAATGACCAAATAACAAGGTAAATGAATTATTTGTTTGAGTTGGAAAGGTGATAGAGGGTGTATGACTAAAATTTTACATATATGTGGCACATCTTTTGTTTACCATTAAATAACATTATTACTTTCTACTTTCGCTCCATACACGAAAAAGGTTAGTACTAAATGTCTTTATGAATTGAAATTTAAAAATGGGTATACAGGCAGCTGTTGTTAATAATTTTGAATTACAGAAATAATGATTATGCGTACTTTGCAAACACTTAATTTTTATTTCGAGATAAAGTTAAATTAAATTTTGGAATTTTAAACAAGTTAGGATTAAGATAACAAATTAAAGATAGTCTGTGCTACAGTCTTATTAACCATTGCAGAATTATTCATTTAAATAAGATCAAGGCTAAATGTTAACATTGATTCTTTGACTCAGCTTTTTCGTGAAGATTTGTCACAGTATATGTAATGTAATATAGAAACACGCAATATATAGTATCTCCTTTTTGTTAAAAAATGCATAAAATCCAATCAAATTAATTGTGTTACACACGTCCACTTCCTCAGCTAGGTTCAGCTGAAACAAAGAAAAAATAATACTGAAAATTGTTTTCTCAGTTAAAAAGACTTTGCAGAAACAAAGGTTGCTTTTTTTAATTTGTTAATAAAATTGATGGGCTATTCGATCCTCAGGTTCTGAAAATTTGGCATTGACTAATTTAAAATGCTCCCAAAATGTGTCTGAATTCTCAAAATAATGTGTTTTTCCTAGGATGATTTTTCAAACTAAATCTTTAAAGTGAATCATATTATATAGGGAATATTACAAAATCTTCAGGAAATGCAGATAAAAATAATTACTATGCATTTTCCAATTCACATTTGACCAGCAAACACACTAGAAATAAACAAGAGGCCCACGGGCCTTATAGGTCACCTGAGTATCACGTAACAACTTTCCAACAATTGAATTGGTTCGTGTTTTAAATCAAAGGCCATCTTCAAAATTTTGAAAGAGGCACTTTTGCTTTTCATGACTAAACATGTAGCCTGCTTACTTTGGTTATTTAATACCCAGAGGTAGATCAGAGTAACAAGGAGAAAATTCATTTCCACTTTATAACCAGTTGTGCACCCCCAACCCACAGGAACAACTTACCCTGGGGCACATATTTCAGAATTCTGGAAATTTTATCATAAATTTTCATCATAAATGGTTGATTAATACCAAAATAAGGGTTCAAAGCAATGATTTATTTTCAGACTATGTAACCCCCACCCAAAGTACCCCTGACTAAAGGCGCCATGAAATTAATCATTTTGGAAGAGGCACCTTTCATCACCTTTAACATGTACTTAAAACATTGGCACAATACCCAGGGGCAAAGGAAAAAAAATTCAAAGAATCCAATCATTTTTACTATATAATCATTAGAATCCCACCTGAACACCCAAGCCCCTAACCCTGGGGTCTTGAAATTCACAAATTTGATAGAGGCATCCTTCCTCATCATAACTATGTACATATTTCAATGGTTTAATGCCCAGAAACAGAGGAGAAAATTTTTTTAAAAAATTAATGTATTTTCACAATATCAATTAATAGAGCCCATAATAGATTAGAGACACAATTTTAAAAGAGGCACTCTTATTCAACATAACTATGTACTTACTTAGATTTTTTAAAAATTGGATATATTTTCATTATATAATCAATAGAGGCCGCCCTAACCCCTGAACCCCCAATCCAGATGCCATGAAATTTCCAATTCTGGAATAGACATTCTCGCTCATTATTACTATGTACTTGTTATTTTGTTTAATACCCAGGAGCAGAGAGTAAGATTTTCAAAGAATTTATGCATTTTCGCTATATAATCTATTTAGCCCCACCCTAGAACTAGAACCCTTGATCCCAGGGCCATGAATTTCACACTTTTGGTAGAGTATTCAATGCTGATTACAATCATACACAACAGTTTGAATGCTTGATGTCCAGGAGAAAAAAGAAATTTTTTAAAGATTGCATTAATTTTTTAATTAAATACAACTTACCGAAAACATTCGGGATTTCTTCTACAATCATGGAAGGATCGCACTGTCCAGATCGAAGATCTGTGTAATCAATACGCACTGATATACTTTGCCGCTTGTCATCGCCTACTGCGAGGGTCAACTATAAATTAAAAATTATTTCATAAATATAAGCAATTCTCTCTCAATCGGGGCTGACTACTCTTCTTATGACAGGTACATGTTTCCTGTTTTCATGGGTGCAAGTTTTGCCTGCTTTTGATTGCTCCGTATTTAAGAATTGCTGACTGACGTTTTTCATACTAATTGTTAGGTCATTATTTACACACTGAGTTGTCGACGGATTTTCCCGTTATTTCCCGAATATGACAAGGAGCACACGGCAGGTGTGACCGGTGGGCAGGGGATGCTCACTTTTCGATGGCACCAGATTCCACCTCCGATGTTTTAGGGTGTTCGTGTTTGCTGTGCTTTTTTTGTATTGCTTAATGGACTATTGAGCTTGAAAAATGTTCGTTATCTTCATATATTTCATGGAATCTAAATGATTCATCTCAGTTATCTTCACCACTTTTCTTAAAATACTTCACAAATTGCAATTTTCTTTTTGTAATGGACATATAACAATGATAAAAGAAATGTCAAAACTTTAAATCCCGGATTTAATAGGAAAACATAAAAGATAATTTAAATTAATAGATGCAGGTTTGCGACCAAGATTGTAAAAATTTTAATTTTATTTAATCTTCCATAAGTTTTGAGATATTTATACAATTTTACAGTATCTTTACACTCTCTTAAATCTGAATGGCTTCATTTCCGTTAAACTGAGTACAGGTTGAATACCTTCCAAATAAGAACTAGTACGTTAACTAGGGGCATTTACAAATCTACGTGATCTATTATGATCCAAAGCAAGTCAAAAAGAAGTTAGTCGCTTGCATATAAAATCAGTGAAAGATATTTTTAATCAACTTATATATATATATATATATATATATATATATATATATATATATATATATATATATATATATATATATATATATATAATCAGTGAAAGAGATTTTAAAAATCACAATTCCTGCCATGAAAAAAGATAGAGCACAGGGTTATTTATCAAAGATATTTTTAACCAACTTATATACATATATATATATATATATATATATATATATATTATATATATATATATATATATATATATATATATATATATATATATATATATATATATATATATATATATATATATATATATATATATATATATATATATATATATATATATATATATATATATATATATATATATATATATATATATATATATATATATATATATATATATATATATATATATATATATATATATATATATATATATATATATATATATATATATATATATATATATATATATATATATATATATATATATATATATATATATATATATATATATATATATATATATATATATATATATATATATATATATATATATATATATATATATATATATATATATATATATATATATATATATATATATATATATATATATATATATATATATATATATATATATATATATAGTGCTTTATATATATATATAGTGCTTTATATATATATATATAAAAAGCACTAAAAAACCAACAACACTGTATATCCTAAATGTCGGATCTACCAAGTAGATACAAGGTCACGGATGGAAATTTATATAAAGCACTAAAAATGACCAACGATACGAACAATAAAATATATATATATTACAAACACACAAACACGACTCTGAGCTCAGTGTTTGCGAAAGCTTAAATGTGCAATTGTTTTTATTTCTCTCATATTTGTGAAAAACAAGAGACCCGCCTCAAAATGTAGCTTCGTATATTGTCTTTATCTAATGTTTGATATTTTCATTTGTCAAAATATTAAAGACGTCAGTTAATAATTCAAAATTAATTGGCGATCACTGATAAATCTATATGCCTTCATCTAGAAGACATCATTTTATTTGTAAGTATCATGTTGTATTGCAAAATTTTTCAAAAAGAGTCAGTTTTCTGTAGGATTTACATGTATCAATATGCAAAGGCATAGCGTTGATGTTTGAGCTGACGATAAAAGATACCCACCCTGAAGTCTGAGGCAGCTTCTAAGTCTAACCGGAGGATGTGCCATTCCAGATTCTTGAAACGGCCTCTCCATATGAGAGGTCTGTAAAGACCGTCCTCAAGAAGGATATAAAAATCTCCATTTCCAATCATCTGGTATTGCATTATGAAACAATAGGAGCCTTCCGTGTTGTTTATGATAGGAGAATTTAAAACAACCGGTTCAAAATTTGAGGAGTAGGAGTCATATTTTAAAAAGCTTCCTGTAAAATAATACAAATGATATTGAATTATTGGAGAGCAAAATCTTTGAGAGGGTAAATCGGATGAAGTATCAAGAACGCTTATTTCGATGAGGAATAAGATCAAAATATATTGGAATTTCAATAAGGTGGTCGTTCTATATTTTCTTACCCTGACGGTTTTAGAATAAACAAAGGACTTCCATGTCCTTTATCTTTCTAATTCATTTAAACCACTCTCCATCTTTAAGGTTGAACAAAATACGTAATATTTTCAAAGAATAAGTGAAATAACTGATTCAAAGGGTGACCAAGTACAAGTTACCTTGATAGCTATAAAATGGATTTTTTGAACATACATGTAGAAATTTGTCAATCTGATGTACTCAAACATATCAATGTTATTCAATATTAATTTTAGAATATATATAACAAAATATTATGAATTTTGTAACATCTTTGTTAACAATTAGTGAAACAGTGTCTCTGTCGTCGTTTAATTTAATGAAATGACCTAACGTTTTTATCAATAGGTAATTTTGAAATTAAATTGTGCATTGCTTCAAAGTTAAATAATTCTCAACTTTTATTTATGAATTTTTCAAGAACTTTTCAGATGAACTGTGTCAATTTTCTAAGCTTTTCTTGTATATAAAATTCAATAAGACTTAAAGATCTATATTAAATGCTTTCAATGCTACATTTATCGGCCGAAAAGGGATCGATATATTTGTTGCTGAGTTAAAAATGCACACTCGGAATGAAAATCTATCTTTAATTGTTTTGTTGGAATAATTTTTATTGATAATATAAACAAAAACTATAATATATTAATCATTGTAAAAGTATGCTAGATTAAAAAAAAGCATCTTGTAACAACTGTTCCTTTTCACTGTAGAAAGGACATGAGATCCTCAAATAAATATTTAGATAAATTATTTTTTAATTTGAATAATTTGGGTACCTTTTGGAACCAAAGCATCTTGTGTATTAAAAGATTTATTTGAAATATCCCAGCCAGATCTTTTCCATAAACAAGTGGACACGTCAAATCCGCATACATGACGTCGAAAATCTTTAAAAAAAAATTAAATTTAACATTCCACAGTTTCTTTAAGGATTTCCTTTTATACAATGTAAAATTAAATAGAATACTTCAAACTTTCCTATTCATGTTGATATTTATTAGTTAGCCTTGAGACAAAATTTGTAGGAATTCTTGCAAACAGGAAGTTTTATACGTACCCAAGAATTCGAAACGGTCATCTGAAAAAGTAAATAAGCACCACCTGTTCGAGATTAATACTATTCCAAACAGAGTACTCCCAGTAAACATATCCTCTGTTACATAACCTTTGAAACGTGAATGAAAATAAATTGGAAAAAATCATATATAATTTTCCTATGAAGGTAATTACCATATGAAGGTAATAATTGCCATACGAAGGATATTACTACATCAATGAGGGATGCTGACGACGGAAAAGTTGAATTATCTTGTTTGCCAATTATAAATTACAAAGTTATGAAAATGTCACAAAATGAATCTCTTCATGTGATTCATGAAGAATCAAATATCCGTAGTAATATGAAAAAAATTGTTGCTTAATCAAATCGTAGAGCCTTTGTTGAGCAATACGTGTAATATTAGAGAAGATTTCTATTGAAAACATAACTCCGCGGGCAAATCGGTGGTGCTTTTCCATTTTTAAAAATTGATTGATCTGCTTATTCATGTTAATGCCCTTCTATATCGACAAGATTCAAGATTTTTAATATTATTTTGCAAAATTTAGGATTCGAAAAATGTGCTTTTTATGGAAAAGATAGGTCAGCAGGGGATGCTCACTCTTCCACGGCACCTGATCCCACCTCTGATGTTTCGGAGGTCCGTGTTTGCTCTGCTCCTATTTTGTATTGTTTTATGGATTTTGAGATTGAATACTGTCTGTTATCTCCATATCCTTCGTGTATATATTTTCAGTTGAAAACGAGATGTTTATCAAATGTGATTTTTTCCTTGTTATCAAGCGACAATTAAAATTTAAGATTTTCAAAGTCTTTAAATAAATTGTGAATATGAAGAAATTATATGCTCGGTATATTACAGCGGCAATATTTACTTACTGTTTACATCTGGTACAGGTATGGGTCCATTTTCTATTTAAGAAACATTATAGATAGTTTTTGTTTTCAATTGAACATTTTATAATATTGAACATAAACAATTTTTTCAGTTTACATTTTGTGAAGAAAAGTAATACCAATAACATCCGGGACTTCTTCCACAATCATGGAGGGATTGCAGGGACCAGATCGTAGATCTGTGTAATCAATACTGACTGACACATTCTGACGTGGAGGAATAATACCTTCTGGAATATTCTGACGCTGAGGGTCGCTAGCTGTTAGGAATAGCTGTAAATCAAATGATTTCAAAAGCTACAGATTTATAAGATTGTCGTTGGTAAATGAAATTAAATATTTCGTAGGGTTAAGGACAGATGATACAAACAAAAAGAATGGATGCACGGATTGGTATATATTTTTTGGCCTAATTTCAATGCAAACGATGCAAATAATAAATTTCTAGAATATAAAGAAATTGAAAACCTTCTGTGATGTTCATAATTCTGCCCTTCTGAAACCATCTTTATTAATCTATACAAATATTTTCCACGTTAAATTTTTGTACAAATTTGAATAAAAAATCAAAAACTACGCAGTGAAATTTTTTTTAATTTTGTTCATTTAAACATGACCCAAGTTGATATTTTCAAATTCTTTGACAAAAGTTTGTATCATCTGTCCTATTTGGATCAGTGTTTAACATTTGATTTAAACAGGTTAAACCAAATATAAGAACCTACATTAAAAATTACCAAGAAAAGTACTCACTTGGAAATTCCCTGATACTTTTTCTAAATCCACTCGTAGAATCTGCCATGTCAGGTCCTTAATAGGATCATTCCATAATTCTACGAAATTATCACCAATCGTGAGAAATATATTAAGCAATATGTCTCCAAGCGCTCGGTATTGCATAAGGAAACAGTAGGAGCCCTCAGTGTTGTTAATGATCGGAGATGTTAAAACAGCCATGTCATAAAAGGATTGTAATGAATCATATATAAGAACCTTTCCTGCAAAAAATAATCGTCAAAGAGCTAGGTTCAATTTATGCATAAAATGGCCCTGTCCTAATATCAATTAATTGACTTTCACCCTCCTTCCTATTTCATGAATCAAAATAAAGTAGAAACTTAGTGCTTTCATTTTCTGTAATAAAATTCGTTTTTTAAAAATCAAGGTATTGCAAAATGGGCTTTTAGAAACTGCAGTGTTCTTGAATTTTGCAAATAAAAAAAACATGCATATTTGACTACCTTCAGCAAAGAATTAAAATATGAGCACAGCCCACGATCAAAATATTTAAACATGCTTTTTGATCTTCAGAAACAGTTCGTTCATTATATAATTCTATATTTTGGATCAGAGATTATTCTCTATATGAAATTTTAAAAAAATACTTCAATTTTAGGCCATTTTTAAAGGAATCTACAGGATATGGTAAAAATGACGCAATTTATGACGTAATAATGCATTGACGAGAGGGAAATCACGTTTTGTTAAATAGATACAAGGTCACCAACATTCCAAGTGAAAAATACTGCATTTTTAACCTATAGTGGGCTGAGTTTTAATTTTTCAGAAATACTTAGGGCCAAGAAAGGCCCGGAGTGGCTCTTGCTCTTTCTAATGCGTAGGAATCTTAATTAACAGAATATATAAAGACATTTTTTAAAACTGCAACTGCATGTAAATACATGTATATTTAATAATTCGCATACGAAGAAATGTACCACGCTCTCTGTACACCCCTACTATTGTAATTGTGATTTAAATTCAAGACACGTGGTTTAGGTTGAGACATTCAAAAGTTTTAGGGTAGAACTTAAATTTGTATTAAACAGGAAATTGCTATAGCCTGTTTCTTTTACAAATATGTGGTTCCAGACCTTTCTTAAAGACTTTCATGATTTTCAGAAAAGGTTGGTTAAAGGGGGATGATAAAATAACAATACATGTATATCTTATCATAATTTACGGTGAAAACTAGAGCCTTAGTAGCGACCGATATGCTGAGGAATAATGTAAAAATGTAATATCATCTGCACTGACAAACCTTTGTTTGCCTTAAATGGCTCTATCTAACAACCAAGCCATATGATAAACGTGATGACTTTAACTTTTCTATCGTCAACTTCCCCTACTTATGCAGCAATATATCTTCATCACCTGCATATGGAGTATATATATCTCAGTTGATTCGATGCGCAAGAGCATGCTCTAGGTATGAACAATTTCTAAAACGAGATAAATTATTGACAAGCAAGTTGATGAAACAAGAATATTAAAGTCATCATTTCGTAAGTTCTATCGTCAATACAATGACCTTGTCAGCAAATACAATTTATCATTGAGTAAAATGCTGACTGACGTTTTTCATACTAATTGTTAGTCCATTATTTATACACTGAATTGAAGACGGATTTTTTCGTTATTTCCCGATCATGACAAGGAGGACACGGCGTGTGTGACCATTCAGCAGGGGATGCTCACTCCTCCATGGCACCTGATCCAACCTCTGATGTTTCGGAGCTCCGTGTTTGCTCTGCTCCTATTTTGTGTTGTTTTATGGACTTTGATATTGAATACCATTAGTTATCTCCATATCCTTTATTAATACGCACGGAGGACCTTACCACGAGCAACTGACCAATCATTGAATGAATTGCAACGTTTACGCCAAATACTTTTACTTCGAACACTTGGTTCAGGTCAATCTATTATCACGTCAATAGAGTGCAAATAAAAACAATGTTTTTATGAACAAAATACAAAGATTAGAAACTATGAAAGATGTCACGGGCGTTTTTATTATTATCATTATTTTTTTTTTTTTTTGTTAATTAGAAAAAAAAATACGTTTAGTAAATTGTAGTTTGTGTCAGGTTCAGAACACCAGGCTTCAAGGGTAAGGAAAAAGAGCAGCATATCTTGGGAATTTAAATGGACAAAACATTTATACATAACCATACTCGTGATCACGTGTTTGGCCAGGGAATCCACTTGACAATTGTATTCACTGATAGTACAACAAAAGAATTAATACAGACGCAAATCGCTTTGCAGTATGACTTTGATAAACCTAGACTTCCATCGTTTATTTAACAAATTAATTGTTTGTCATTGTGAGCATGAAAGTCAGAATTAAAAAAAAATGTTATTCATATACGAAATGGATGGGGAAAGGGTCTTTGTGTCTTTCCAATCGCCATAAGATTTTCCTTTGTTTTTAAGCGTTAAATTCCTGTAGTATTCGTAGTAACCCATAAAGCAATTCTCATTCAGCTGATTTTCAAGTCACGTTGGTGCCTCATTTGCTAATCTGAAGCCTCAAAATATAGTCCAGGTTCCCATGCAAAAATATTTGTTCAAAAAGAATTTTAATTCATGAATACAGAAAATTGTACCCTAGAAAATACTTATTTGAATTTGAATGAATTCAACAGAGATCGATTGAAATACATTTCTACAGATATCATGGAGGGGTTGAAAACTGAAACGCAAAATAACTTTTCTGTTTACCATGTCTCCACGTGCTGGTCACTTCCTAGCAAAATTTCCTTGAATAATTTACCCTATCTCGCTAACTCTTGCCAGAGCCACTGCCGAAGCTACTCTGAACTCATCGGATTTTATAATTTGCAGAACACAGGAAAATATAAAGGTTCCAACACATTAGTAGGGGTGTGTACCTCTATGGAAATAAATCTCATACTAGATCATGAACCAATTTGATCTGAGCATATAGAATAAGTGTTGTTATAAATGCAGAGAAGGTTTGCACAAGATTTATTTTAAAACTTATAAAGTCTTCTGTTATTCAGAAACATATACTAAAACATATCACTATTTATTTTCACATAATAGCTATGAGTAATAATTTACTATATGTAGATTAATCATGTTAATATACAACACTTGTTACCTTTAGCATACATGCAATTTATGCATTAATATGCATAATAAAATCTTTTTTATCCAAACACGTTATTTAATTGCAATTTCCCGAGTTAATCCCATTACAATTTATTTTTTTTATATACATGATATACGTTTAGCACTTCTTGAAAAACTCACAGATCAATGATTTCATTAAGGTATAATTCTTTATTGTGTTATTACCTCTGTAAGAGGCAATACAATTCTTGAAATTATTTTTTAATTAAGATCATTTACCGCTTTTTAGTTTAAAAAGTCTCCAACATTTATCATTAACTGACGGAGTCTTGAAATCACCATGTTTTCTACAAAATTTTACACGTCATGCTAATTTTTATATTTAACCCATCAGGACTTTCGTCTCAGGGGAAAACAACATATCAACTCCATACAACTTAATGTTATACATTTCTATTATGTAGATTCAATTATATTTTGTGCCAGATGTTTAGGATTGATAGTTAACATTATATTTTTTCGTTTTGTTTACAAATTGTAGGTACATGTATTAGAAACTTCGGGAAAAAAACAAAACTTCAAATCCACGAAAAGTAATACTGACAAACACCTACCTTTTGGAATTGAAACATCTATTGAACCACCAATGACATCAACATTTACCCAGCCGTCTGCACTTTGCCATAGGCAAATATATTTGTCAAACCCACAAGCAAGATGATAGTATGCTACAAAAGATCTAAGCTGATTTGGTTTTTGAGTAATATACACATGTATATATACCAAAACTCAAATAGACAGAAGGCGTGTTTTAAATATTTTTAAATTCTAAATTTTATGACAATATGCTTTCTGTTCTACGATAGTTTCAGTGAAAGAAACTTACGAGACGTACCTATTGTACCATTTTCTGAAAATTGAAAAAAAAAATGCATTGGAACGTTAAAAACAATCTTCTTAGTATGTTTGCTTACGAAAAACGTTCTCAGATAGGATATCGTATTTGTAACTATAAAAGAACCTTTTATTTAAATCAAAAAAAAGTATTGTGTCATTTATTTTGCATACCATATCATGGATTGAAATGTATTAAATAAATATTTTTCTTTTTGTTGTTATTTATATTTCCTCAGACTTAAAATGTAACATCTGAAGATTTCGCTACATGTACTTAAAAATTAAAGAAAAACATTACAGTTATATTTTCTATAATAAAAAATTACAAACAGTAGTTGGCTGTTTAATATAAAGCTTTCTAAATAATACGACAACGTATATTCCCATTAATTTAAAGCGTGAAAAGGATTGTATTATTTTGCATCTTTTTTTATTCAAAGAGTAAAACATTTGAAAAAAAAACGTTTTAAAATCAACATTGTTTATGTATGTTTTATGTATCAAAATACAGACAAACATATTTTTGTAGGATATTATATTGTGATAGATAAGTATTGAATATTTCTGAATTTCAAACTACAATAAGCGCTCTTAATAGCTCGTGCTTACGAAGAGTGAAAAATTAAACACTTGTTTATCTTCTATTTCAAAACAATTTTTTTCTACCATATATTTATGTACACTATTGAGCATCTTTCAAAACAACGAAACAAATTTGATTTATTTTCCTAAATTATTTTGAATTGTATAAAAGTATAAAGTAAATGCTCTTTTCCTAAGTCGAATTTAAATGAACATACTGATTTTTGATTAGAATTAACGAGGCCGAGTCTAATTCGAGTGCGCATGACTTTGAGCAGCTTTTTACAGTCATTTGTGCGACAATACATCTTTACCAAATATTTTGATTAATCAAAAATTAACATTTTCTGAAACCCCTACTGGTCTGAAAATGTGATTTTACGACAATAATTAGGAAAAAATATTGAAATGGCTCTAACAATGTCACAATTTTGAATTCGGATTTTGTACATGTAGGCAATGCATGACGCTGAAGAATGACGCATGACTCGCTTGTATGTTCAAGACGTCCATGGATAATATACTAAATACTGGTGACAGACCATCCTAAGAAACATACAAGCAATCTAAACATTGCTATTTTTACCGACAAAATCATATGCGCCGATAATTCATCTGCACTAATATTTATTTATACCGTAATATGGCAATTTTAGAGGCATTGGGTTTTGAAAAAAATAAACTTAGTAATCAATTCGGATTTATTCCTTACCCAACCTAGAAGTTGAACTTTTTGAAATTTTACTATTTGGTGACTTTTTAAGATAACTTTCATCTACTTGAATGAAAAAGAAATCTCTAGGGTTGAAATACAAAAATTATTGAAAAAATGTGATAATTTGACTCTTTTCCAACAAGTTCCCATAGGGTCCAATAGTAAAATTTTACAACTTGTGAGATGGCCCCCTAAGAAATTGGGATGGTAAACATTCGATTTTTTAATCTTTAAACAATAAATATAACAGTAAAATCTAATTATCAAAAATTATCAACATCCCTAGGGCAGAAATAATTAGACTCGGCCTCGTTTTAGTCATGATCTTATATATTAAAGGAGCCCACAAGCTTATGAAATTCAAGACATAAATTCTTTTACAAGTTTTATGCTTCATATCATAACAAGATTTGTTTGATAGAATGCACCGAGACTTAAATTTATGATTAGCACTATAAACAAATCATGCTTTAAACTGTCATTTTCTATGAAATAAGAGGGAAATACATATAAAAAAAAAACTGGGAGTTCTGTCCATTTTTGACAAATGAAATATATCTAGAATGGCCCGACCTCTCCTAAAATGGCATTATACCAGCACTTGGTCTCACCTGTAAAAAGAGATCAAATTGAATGTAGGTTTTTAGACTATAATGTACTTTTTCAATTATTTAATGAAGAATCGCAAGGAGCGATTTTTTGCTTTTTTCTACATTCTTTCTTTTACAGCTGTAAACTCTGGGGGAAAGATTCGTCAGATCATTTATGACTTCATAATGGTCTTGTTCCAATGAGACATTTGGGAACCATTTACTAGAACGTGATCTTAATTAATTCTTTCTGTCAACAGATACACTATTTGTTCTTATCTTAATTTGCCCCCTGCAACTTGATAGTTTGCAAGTACATGTACATGTATGCTTGTTCAAAAAGGGCAAATTCTAAAATGCTTGTTCAAAAAGGGCAAAGTCTCATTTTAACACAAACGCTTGTTGGAATATTTTTAACAAAAAAACTTTGTATGTAAGAGGATGAAGTAGTTTTCTCTGCACAAAACCGTTGTTTAAAATCACTGTTATAATATCAAGTGTATAAAATTTGTGTTTATTACTTTCATAATACTTACTTGGTACATGTAGTAAACCTGAAATATGAATATAAAATGCACATTAACATTTTTTCTTAATAATTCGTACGATTAGTATACATGCATATATTGAAGTTTGTTTTTTTTTATTTAACGGAGATCTAATTTTTTTTTAAAAAAAATAACCCTAGCTATAGATGCACGCAATGTACACGGTTAAAAATAATTACAGTAACACAAGCATTTTCCCCAGAAATTAGCAGCATTTCTCATATAGGCAATCTGAACATTGTTTCCAGGTTAAGTTGGGGACTTTTGTTAGATTTTGTCACAATGTTAAAAATATTTGCAAAACTTTGTTTTTAATTACACGGAAAACGACACAAAATCGCATATTAACTTATGATTTCTTAATGATTCATGGATTTAATACTTAAGTGATCTCTAATCAAAATCCACCAAAAAATTATGATGAATAATTATTTTTTGCGTTTAATCGCAAAAGTATTGCGTTTAAACACAATAATATTGCGATTAAACGCAATAATTTTTGCGATTAAAAGCAATACTTTGGCGATTAAACGCTATAATCTGTGCGTTTAATCGCAATAATATTGCGTTTAATTATGTTCCCCAAACGGAGTTTGGGAACATATTGTTTTTACTCTGTTTCTTATTATGTTCCCCAAACGGAGTTTGGGAACATATTGTTTTTACTCTGTTTCTTATTATTATTATTTTTTTTCTTATTTCTTCTCCGGTACTTTTTTTGTCCGCGAGTGTTCTCAGAAACTGTTCAACCAACTGAGCTAAAACCTTTTTAGGGTTAATAGGTGTGTAGTGTAGGTGTGCGGAACGAAGGTCATTTTGCGCGCATACGCCTGCACGTGCGTGCGCGTGAAATGAGTGAATTGACTGATATATTTAATTTGGATGTAACATCTAAATTTTTTGATGAAATGTTTTGAAACTCATTATATAAGAATATATAAGATGTATAAATATGATGACATGGTCAAATTTGCATGAACTCACGCGCATGCACGTGCGCTTTGCTCTGATTGGCTGAAACAAAAACCTCAATATCTTACTTGTTTTTCGATGAAATACTTTGAAATTTATAACATAGTCATACATTAGGATACCCTACAATATGATATATAAAAATTTTCATGAAATCACGTGCATGCACGTGCGCTGTAATCTGATTGGCTGAAACTTTAAATGACTATAACTCCCTTGGTTTCCAACCAAACATGATGGGATTTAGAACATAGATAAACATAAAGGACTCCTACAAGATGGTATGGTAAACATTTACATGCATGCACGTGGATGCACGTGCGCTTTGCTCTGATTGGCTGAAACAAAAATCTCAATATCTTTTCTGTTTTCTGACAAAATGCTTTGAAATTTAAAACATAGGCATACTTTAAGATGTCCTACAATATGATATATAATAATTTTCATGAAAACACGCGCATGCACATGCGCTGCAATCTGATTGGCTTAAACTTTAAATGGCTATAACTCCCTTGTTTTTCAACCAAACAAATTGGGATTTAAAACATAGACAGACATAATCGCCTCCAACAAGAAGGTATGGTCTCATGCACGTGCGTGCACGTGTAATGAGTAAAATAGTGTAGACAAGATGATATAGTCATTACGCTCATGCAATGTTGTTTAAGTCTTAAATGCATAGACTCTGCCTATTTTAATGAAACTTACAGGAATATGGCACAAAAAGGGAGTTGGGGAGCGTTTGGGGAACATCTGTAACGGTTCCCGTTACAATTAGCACTAGTTATGTTCCCCAAACGAAGTTGGGGAACATATTGTTTTTACTCTGTTTCTTATTATTATTATTATTTTTCTTCTTCTTCTTCTTCTTCCTGGGTACTTTTTTGTCCGGGAATGATCTCGTAAACTATACATCCGACTAAGGTGAAATGTTTTTAGGGTCAGTAGACATGTTATGTAGATTTGCGGAACGAAGGTCATTTTGCGCGCACGTGCTTGCAAGAGCGTGCACGTGCAACATGTGAAATGACCGATTTAATTGATATTGGTGTAACTTTTTAAATTTTTGATGAAATGCTTTAAAACTTATAACATAAGGATATATTAGAAGCATAGACAATATGACATGGTCAAAATAGCAAGATCTCACGCGCATGCACGTGCGCTTTGCTCTGATTGGCTGAAACTAAAGTCTCAATATCTTTCTTGTTTTTTGACGAAATCCTTTGAAATTTTGAAAATAGCCATGCATTACAATATCCTACAACTTGATATATAGCAATTATCATGAAAACACGTGCATGCACGTGCGCTGCAATCTGATTGGCTGAAATTTTAAATAGCTATAACTCCTTTGATTTTCAACCAAACAGGATGAGATTTGGAACATAGATAGATATACTGGTCTACTACAAGAAAATATGGTCACCATGCACATG